CCAAGGTAAAATTTGAATTACAACTTTGAATCTTCTTTAAGTTACTGTAACATGTTAACTTTTACTACAGATAGGAGCCTCATGAGAGGATAAATAAACTTTAAAAAGTTTTCGATTTTAAAAACCCTTCTTAATAGTCTCTATTTTACCAAATTTTCCATGTCTTTAAAAAGACTCTCAAAAGTGTATGGTGCTATTTCAGCTGCTGTGAAATTCAAACAAAAAGAATCGTTTACCCTCCTTTTCATAAGTTTAAAGACTCAAAAATACAATGTAGCCAGCAGAATCCACAAATATATATGATTATCATACAGATCCAGATACATACATTTAAAACATCATGACTAAAAATTAATTTTATATTCTAAGTATAGAATTTTTAGATGTGGAATCTCTGGTCAGTAATCAGGGCCCAAGTTTTTAAGGAAAAATAAACTACAATATTTTCCCAGTAAGAGAAGCAGAGGGCAATTGGCATTTGTTATGAATTTGGAAGGTGTATATGGATAGCTTTATAGTCTGCATGAGGAATATTAAGCCCATATTCTAAACAGCTTCCTCAAGGTTCAAGTGTGATGATAGCAAGGACTGTCTTCGACACCAGAGAATCCTGGATCCGGTGGTAGGGCTCTCTCCACCATTTCCCAGTGAGGTCAGACATTATGCTATCGGGAGGATTTGAAATAATTCAATTCTTCATTGTGTTTGTCTTCAGTATTGTGAATCTAATGGCTGGAGCATGGTAGGAATTTGTGCAAAAAGTGAGTTGTTGAGGAGAAGAGTTAATGAAAAAATGATAAGGCAAGAATTTATGTTAGAGTAGATTATAAAATAGAGGCGGCAATGTGAAAGCGGGAGGATGGAAGTGGCAAGGAGCTCCATGAGATCGATGGAGAGGGTTACAACCTAGAATCTTCTTTGTCATTGTCTACCACCCATTGTCCATGTCTCCTCACTACTACTCCACACAAGTGGAAAAGATTGAGTGATTTCTAGAGTGTCAGCTTTCTATAAGATTTTTTCATTAGCATAACAGTAAGTGCTCCATGTGCTATTAATAATAATATCCAGTGTTCACTTTAGCAAGAATCAAGTTCGGCACTCGTTCTCTCTATCTCATTTCATTCTCATAACAACCCTGAGGTAGATGCTATTTTTATGCTATGAAAGCAAACGAACAAAGGCTTGAGGCTTTGCGACTTTCCTAGGTCAAACCGATAATAAATGGTGAGCCTGGGATTTGGATGCTGTGCTGACTGATGGAGAGTGTTTGCTGCTAACAACTACAGGAGTATTCTGCATAAAACATGTGCTCTGTATAAATTAGTTTCATAGGATATAAATAGACAGAAAAAGGGAAAAACAGTTCTGAGTTCCTACAGTATGTTGGAACCAAGACACTTATTTGGTTTCTTCGAGATTTTGTGGGAATTTTAATTTATTATATGCATTACTTTTCCAAACGGATACAGAAACTATGCATGTTGCATTTCTAAAAATTGTTCGACCATGGGGCACTGGTGTAAAAATCATTTTTTTCCTAATTCATTTGTTTGTTTCTTTTTCTAGGTTACTTTCTATTAACTTTCTTGTCTTCTCCCAACATTTCAGCCTTGCATCATAGCTAGCCCCAAACCATTACTTGCTATGGTAAAACATTTGCAAGGTAGCTGAGGTATATTTCTTCCAAAATAGATTCATACAGCACTTTGATATTTCGGCTACTGTTGCCTTATTTTGAAACTATCTTTACTCTGAAAACTATAGAGTTTAAATGCACTGATTTTTTCATATACTTCCTAATAAAATTTTCACTTATCTATTACCTGAAGTGATGTATCACTTTGCACTTTTTTAAAAAATCTTTTTCAATTAAAGTGAATTTTATTGATGTCAGGAATGATATTTCATTCATCCTGATGTTTTCTCTATGCAAATGGTAGAATTTCAATAAATGTTTGCTGAACATGACTTCTTTATCCTTCTCTCCCAGATTCCACATTCCTGTGAATTCTTACTCATGTGCTATGTTTATTTCTATCCCTTTCATAATTAAGATTATTTATCAGGTGCTCATATATGAGGGTTTAGTTACCAGAAATCTCAAGTTAGACTTACTAATGGTCCCAGCTTTCATATAGCTCTTCACTTGGTAAAAGAAAAAGACCTGGAATTTATTTTTTTTTCCAAAGAATATTTCATAAACTATATACTTTTTTCTGATTGTAACAGATAACAATTTGAGATATCACAGCACCTTCTCACACTAGGAAGTCTATGGGAGAGGAGATTACAGTTATCCAAGTTGGGTATGACAGGTCTTGATGCTGGGAATGGGAAGGGAATATCAGCTTCAAGCAGTGACTTAAATAGAGTGGTGTGGTGACACTGCTTACAAACACAGAGGGAGAGAACGAGGCCAAAAGTGTTTGCTCTGGGTGCCTTCAGATAATTCCTCCCATCTGTCTGGGATGACTCTTGTTAGTCTCCATTGCGCAGAGTGATCCTGCTTCACTTTGACCTTTATTTCATCCAGAGCCTTACAACCACTTTCACATTTTTGTACTGAGTTCCCTTGTATTGACACGTCTCACCTGGTGCCTGCACTCATCTTTCCTTGAGTCCCTGAGAAATTATTTTTATGCCTTGCTTCTAACCCCAGTCCAGACTCAGTTTTTTCTTTAGATCCCTAGCCAGTCACGGATTTAATAGATCTCATTATACTGATTCTAAGAGTCATCAGTTTATGGATTTCTGTATTTACGCACTTATGATAAACTTACTCAATTTTCATTTTCTCTAATTTTTCTCTCAATTCTATTCTTGTTTTTCTCATTTGTATAGTGTCTGAATAAATTTGAACCACTTCCGTCTCTCCCGGTGGCACCAGCTATGTTTATGAAGGTCAAGTGGTAAATAAATGTCCATGTACTAAAAACCATATAATTGTATGTTCAAAAATCTACATCTTTTGATAACACTTGGTTATTGTTCTTATTTTTTTAATAGCCAAATACTCTTTACCAACCAAAGTGATTGAATAAAGTTGAATGGATAATAAATATTTATTAACAAAAATAAATTAACCATGATAATAAAGCAAGGAGACTGATTTTTTTATATGGTGGTAACAAAGGATATGTATGTTTTACTTACTTTGTGTGGCTCATAAACTGGTTCTGAAAGTAATCTTGGAAGAGTTTTCAGAAGATAACATCATTAGAATAACCAATGACTTGATTTCAGTCATTATTGATGGGTAAAAATATATTTATTTGCATATATAAATCTTGTCCAAGAATATACAAATTACGTGTAGAGAAGCCTGTTTAAAAACATAGTAAATAATCAGAGATCTCATCATACAAGTGGCATCCACATATTCATGTGCAATGGAGTCCTTTCACCAGGCTCTGGCCAGAGCTGAAGTTCTAGCCAATCTAACGCCTTGGCTTAGTGATGTTTGCCTGGACATGTAGTGAGTTGAAATAAGGCCAGAAGTGGAAACCTCAGCTCGGGGAGAGCAATGTTTGCTTGACTCTCAGGGCTGATCTCGTTGTTATTGCTAATTCCAACTTGGCTCCCACTAATCACTGGCAAAGGGATCTTATACTGTGTTACTTTCAATCTGGGGAAATATTTTAAAATTTGCCTTGGAGCAGACAGCTCAAGTTATAACTAACTGGTCTCATGCTAGCAAAATTAGAAGTTGTCAGTACATGTTTGTTGAATCAAATTGAACACCCCTGGATGCAACTAGCATTATTATAGGGAAGAGAAGCTTTGTACAATTACTCAATAGTTGTGGATCACCTACTATGTACTAGTATGTATGAAAGGGAGAACAAAGCTAATGTCTCTGACCTCTAATAGCTTCCAATCTTGTAATGACTGACAGTGAGATGTACTGCACTTCCTTATAAAACATATAGAAATAATGAGTGAGACCACAGCAAATTATCACCATGCCCCAGGTAACATTACAAAGTTTCAAACCATGTCTCAAGCCAAAACTGCAAATTCATGTCCTTGGCAAATTATACCAATTATAGCTCTGTGGTAAGGCTATCATTCATATAAATATTTACCTATCACTTAGCATAAAGCTTGCCATCTTATAAAAGCTCACCCAACAATGGGCAATCATGTAGGATCAGGATGGGGCTTCTTGACCATTTGCAAGTTGCAACATTTCCTTCCAAACACGAATTTGGAAAATGACATTGGAAACTATGATATAGTAATGCTATTACCTCAGGAAATGTATGTAAGTTATAACTTAAAAGGCAATGGAACTACTAACCATTGGGTATTTTCTAGGTCTTTATAGCTTACATTTTCTCCTGAATTCTCTTATGCTGGTTACCTTGTAATAGCTCTATGTGGGAATTCAGTAAATGCCCCTCTGCAGTCTTAAATGAGATGGAAAATATAATTGGATAGTATCTTTAATATAAAATAGGGAGGCAGGGAATTTCAGTGAAAGAAGTAGAGGCCAAATAATGTCCAGCTTAATCTCGATAAGTCAATAACATCTTGTAGCCCTTTTCTCTGAGCACAAGAACTGTCAAATATCGGTTTCAGACCTTTGGAAAGGTCCAGAAATTAAAGGAGAAATCTCTTCATCTAAGTACTGAGTAACTAGTTTCGATAAGTATGGTGATTAGATAATGTTTTCTTGAAAACAAGAGAAGCATTTGACTAAAAACCCCATTGATTTCTATTTCTTAGAATTTGATACCATTTGCTATATACTGACTGGCAAATGAAAATCTCATTTATTTATTTATTTATTCTTAATTTATGCTTGGTAAGATCATAATTCTTCACTGATCTGATTTTCCCTAAGTCACATCCCAATATTATCTATTTTTCTCCACTTTTTCTGTCTTCCTTCTCCCATTTCAACCAACTCCTGAGATGACTGTAACCTTGGCCGGCAGCTTGACTACAACCTTGTGAGAGGCCCTGAGCCAGAACCACCCAACTAAGCTGTTCCTGAATTCCTGATTCTCAGAAAGCTTGTGAGGTAATAAATGCCTGTTATACGATGCTATATTTTGGAATAATTTGTTACTCATCAATAGATAATTAATATAGGCATTATGTGTACTCACGGTAATGTTAGAGTAGGTAATCAGGTAGGTAGGAACAAAGGAGGAGGAATGGAAAAGTTAATCAGCTGGCTTGAACACACAGTGCTTGAACAAACAGCCAGATCCATGGCTGACCTGAGAAGTAAAGAGCCATTAATTGCCTCATGTGGACTTAGACACAGGTACAAAGTGACCTTTCGCTCATTGTACTGAAACCACCCTTCACACAAGCCAATAATGGGGTGCAGGGCGAGAACTGTGGTAAGGACCTAGCTAAAAATGAGGCACAGGCCTAGCAAAAATAATGGTAATAACTAGCCACTGTCCCCCTGTTTATTTCTCTATAATGGCTGCTCTGGAGCCACATAGCTGGCGGTCATAAAGATTTTTAGCTTTCTCCATAGATAACATCACCTTTTTGAAACCTAGGGGGTAGTTTCTGAGGTATCTTCCAGGTCCTTCATTCCAGTGGAGCGGCTAACCCACCCCGACCAGTGGCCCATACCAAGAAACTCACTCAGCTGATCTTGTGATCCCCACCCAAGAACCTGGTCAGCAAAGAAGACAAT